GCATAGGTTGCGGATTGCATTGTATACCAGTTGCTAGGACTAATTGTTTCCAAGAACCTTTAGTTTTCTTCATTCTTCTTTGCTCTGGACGAGGAGAGACCCATTGTTGCATCTAGATAGCTGTTTGCAAGCTTTTAAGATCCCAGTCACTACTCACCAAAGTAGGAGGTGGAACAATGTTTTGGGTAGTGTGTATGCCATTTGAGGTTGATGTCCCCTGTGACCATGGTCCCAAGCCCACAGGTCCAACTACTCGGTCCCTCTGGTTAGCTGGCTGTGACCAAGAAGTGACTACAAGCTTCTCCTTTGTCAGCTCTACTATACACCTGGGGATTCTTACAGATCATACAAATACACTTACAGGACCATTGTCTGCCAACCCTACACATGGTCTTGGGTACACTTCCTGCTTCATAGACATACCTGATAGTTCAGCCTATCCACCCATCTATCCACCCATATACCCATGTTTGCCTGCACTGATAACACAGTACTGTATGTGCAGAAGGGTTCATCTTTGTTGTCTGTACCTCCCGTGTACCTCTCTGTGTCTTCCTCTTCCTCAATGCCACTGTGTTGATCACTCACTGATGACATTTTTCATGTTGTGCCACCATTGCTGCTATTCGTGAAGGCTGCAGTCTTCGATCTTCATCAGTAAGTGCGTGAAATCATCGTCACTTCCAGCAAGCAAAACTCTGTCATCGTGTATCTCAGGTAGTTAATGAGTCTCCCCCCAATCCATAGACCACATTCTTCTTCATATAGTCCAGCTCCTTGGGTTATTCGCTCAGCATACAGACTGAATACGTATGGTGAAAAAATAAAGCCCTGACACACACTTTTCCTGATTTTAATATCCCCTTGTTCTGTTCAAACGATAGCTTCCTGGTCTTTATACAGGTTCCTCATGAGCACAATTAAGTGTTCTGGAATTCCCATTCTTCTCAATGTTATCCATAATTTGTTAAGATCGACACAGTTGAATGCCTTTGCAGAGTCAATAAAACACAAGTGAACATCTTTCTGGTGTTCTTTGCCTTCAGCCAAGATCCATCTGACATCAGCGATGATACCCCTCCTTCCACGTCCTCTTCCGAATCCAGCTTGCATTTCCAGAAGCTCTGTTAATACACCGCTGCAACCGTTTTTGAATTATTTTCAGTAAGATTTTACTTGCATGTGATATTAATGATATTGTTGAATAATTTTCCACATTCTGTGGGACTTTCTTTGGAATGGGTACAAATATG